AAACTTTTCAATAAAAAAAAAAAGAAAATATCCTACACAGATGTTTCTTTCCTAATTGAGTGAGAAGTTTTAGTGACTTCTCACTCCTGTTGTTCTATTCCCTTAAGAATTTGTCTTGGTGCATATGCTCTCAGTGTACATAAAAGAAAAGATACGTTCATCAAGAATCATAAGGTACAACACTTAATGATAGTCATAAATAAACAATCAGGAAATAATATCAATATAAATCGTAAGGATACAAGCAACAAAATTACAGTCATAAGTGGAAGGAGATGGGTGGTGGGAACAATGAGAAGATTAATAGTAGTGCAGACTTAGTAAATTCAGTAGTTTGACAGTGTTGAGGGAATTATTTGTTTAGCAGAGTGATGGTGTTCAGGAAAAAACTTTCTTGTGTCTAGTTGTTCTGGTGTGCAGTGCTCTATAGCATCGTTTTGAGGGTAGGAGTTGAAACAGTTTATGTCCAGGATGCAAGGGGTCTGTAAATATTTTCACAGCCCTCTTTTTGACTCATGCAGTATACAGGTCGTCAGTGGAAGGCAGGTTGGTAGTAATTGTTTTTTCTGCAATTCTAATTATCCTCTGAAGTCTGTGTCTGTCTTGTTGGGTTGCAGAACCAAACCAGACAGTTATGGAGGTGCAGATGACAGACTCAATAATTCCTCTGTAGAACTGTATCAGCAGTTCCTTGGGCAGTTTGAGCTTCCTGAGTTGGCACAGAAAGAACATTCTTTGTTGTGTTTTTTTGATGACGTTTTTGATGTTAGGTGTCCATTTTAGATCTTGCGATATGGTAGAAGCTAGAAATTTGAAGGTTTCTACTGTTGATACTGTGTTGTCTAGTATTGTGAGAGGTGGAAGTATGGAAGGGTTTCTCCTAAGTCTACCACCATTTCTACGGTTTTGAGTGTGTTCAGTTCCAGATTATTCTGGTCGCACCATGAGGCTAATCATTGGTATACAGAGAGAAGTGGGGAGATCACACAGCCTTGGGGGGCCCCTGTGCTAATTTTACGGGTATCTAATTTAATATAAGAAGCAATTTAGCCCACCGAATAAAAGGGGATATGGCAGACATTTCAGAAGGAACCTGGATTATAAAGGGAAGGGGGGAAGTGATGGGTTTTCAAGACTTGGGAGATTCTGTTGCTGTTCTGTTTCTGTTAATGAAAGTAATGTTAGTATTCATTAGTACCTTCCTATCTGAGGTACTTCACTTTGAAGGTCTAATTATATGTTTCAGTGAAACCATATATAAACAAAATACATCTTTCTGCATATCTAAAAGATTGCGTATTATTTTTGTGCAATTGTTCATGCATTCAGAGTAAGAAAATTGAAGTGTGTCATCCTTCCAATCAGTACTTTGTAACTATTTAGCAGAATGAACAAATATTTCCAGTAGATAGAGTTTATTGTTGCTTTTAGAATATTTTTCTCCTTTTCCAGAATTTGTTAGTGTAGAAAGATTTTCGATAACATTCATTTCTGAAATTGAGAAAGACATTCTAAAATTGTTGTTTCTTTTCTTTAAGCATTTGTTGGCTGATTTAAAGTATGTTGAAACTCTTGTCATGCAGGAAAGACGGGAAAGAAGCCAAAAGGAACGGAACACCTTTAAAAAAAGCAGACTAAAAGCTTTAACAGTTTATATATTTAGCAAGTGTAAATTACCCAATTAATTGTTCTTTACTATAACATCTTGCATTGTTTTATAAACAATAAATACAGGATTAGATGTCAAAGGCTTTTTTTTTAAAAAAAATATATAATATACAGTTTAATACAAGTTCTTTTTTTCCCAGTTCTAAAAAAAGTTTAAAAATGGATGGAAGCCAAAATAGTATTGTATAAACTATATTTTTTCTATTGTTGGGTTTTGTTTTGTTTTTTGCAACTGAATGAAGAAATTGAATGTCATGTTGTGTATGGAGACAACAATTGTTATCTTCCTGTATACGGTTATGCTTTCTGCATAAGCATAAAGGAATGGTGGTATGTGTTTTGCAGCTCTTTTTAAAAAAATGATGGTGACCAGTAGAAATCTTTCAGGCAAGGCATGGCATTTATTCTTGATTTATATGAAAGCCCATTCTGTTCTGTTAATTGGAACTTGAAAAAAAAATTGAAATGAGTAAAACTCAGTTTGTAAAACTGCATTCTTATGTTGGAGGACTAGTTCTTTACTTCCCTCATTTCTTTTTTCTTCAAGATCACCCCTATAAACTGCATCATAATAGGCAGCTCTTCAGTGTTGCAATAGATGATGATTATCTCTTTTATTCATTAAACATGAAACTCAGTCAACTGAACATTTAAAAATGTGTCACAAATATGATTGACTGGCTCTATAGTTGATACGGGTTGCTGCCAGCATCCTAGGTATTGACCCAAGTATCTTAAAATGTATGTTGTTCTGAGTAGCACAGTTTTTTGCTGTTCCGCTGGTGTTATTGCAGGAAGCTGCAATTTCTTGATGTACTTTGTAAAGTTCTTGGACATGGTGCCAAGTGCCCTGATGACAGTGGGTATCACTGTCACATGTTTCATCCATAATCGCGTAGTTTCAATGGCCAGGTCGCGATATTTCATGATTTTTTTCCAGTTCTTTTTCTTCGACTTTGGCGTCGCCTGGTACAGTGATATCAATAAATTGTATGCTTCGATTTTCGACAACTTTGATATCTGGCGTATTATGTTCCAAATGAAGATACATCTGTATTTGAAAGTCCCACAAGATCTTCACCGTCTCATTTTCAACAACTTATTCCACTTTATGTTCCCATGACTTTTCAGATACAGGTAAGGCGTATTTTTTATATAATGACCAGTGGAGTAATTTAGTAACTCGGTCATGTCCAGCTCTGTAATCAGTTTGTATGATTTTGCTGCACTCACATATTACGTGTAAAACAGTTTCAACTTTGTCATTGCAAAGTTGGCAGTTTAGCTTGTCAGTGGATTTTTGTATCTTTGCTTTCATGGCAATAGTTTGTAGTGCTTGTTCTTGAACAAGCCTTCTTGTAATCCATCCACTTCTTCGTCTTGCATATTTTAATACCATTTTGTCAATGAGCAGTTGATCTTTTGTTCCTCTTGATTTTTTATAATTTCCTTTTTGCTCTACCAGATACAGGCTGGTATCAGTTGAGTGAATACCGAATTTGCCAGTATTCTTGTAAAAAGTTTGAATGTTGTTGGCAGACAAGTAATTGGGCCACAATTGCTTGGTTCTGTGCCCTTTTCTGGATCTTTCATTATCATATGGCCAGTTGTTAACCATTCTTCGCTTGTTGCATTTTGAAGCATTTCATCAAATTGAGTGGCCATGTGGTGATGGAGGCTGGTCAGGTGTTTTAGCCAGTATCCATGCAGTTCGTCCAGGTTAGGTGCGCTCCAGTTCTTGACCTTCTTTGCTTGTTTTGCAACCCTATCAATTGTTATTACAATATTTTCCATTTTGTTTCGTGTTGTTTGTTTTTGAATATTTTTGATCCAGGAGGCAGTTTTGTTGTATTCTACTGGTTTTCCCACAGTTCTTTCCAAAAGTTGTTCTTTACATGGGTGAACATTAGTTTGGACTCGATTTTCATCAAGTGATCGGTAGAAGAGGTGTTGGTTTCTTCTGAACTGGACATTTTCACAACCTTCACGTCCACGTTTTATTCATCCTTAGTATCTTTTGATTTTCTTTGCTGTTACTATTACATGTTGTTTTAGTTCTTCCATGATTTCTGTTATTGTTTTTTCCTCCAGGTTGTATTTTTTGTGTAAACTATTTTTCAGCTTTTTATTCTTTAGTTTTCCTTCTTTCAAGTACTTAAAATTATTGACATCCCCTTGTAGTTTCTTGATTTTATTTTCAAGTTCAATTTTCCACTTTGGTGTTCCAGTGGGTTTCTTTTTTGGCATTTTATAACCCAGTTCTGCAGTTAGGGTTGCACAGGAGGATCTTTATCCTGTATGTTAGTTTCTTCCACTGGTTGGTCAGTTTATATAGGTGTTGGAACAATTTCTTCAGCCTGTTCATCATTATTTGTTGTTTACTTTTTAGCCAATGTTTCTAGATGTTGCATTTCCACATCTGTGAAAACTTTATTATGGATGATGAAACGTCTTTGATCCATTAATCTTTGTTCAATTACGTCGCTTTCCAGATGTTTTTCCTTCCACACTTGCATCATTCTTTTTTGAAATCCTCTGGCTGTTGGTTTTGCCTGGTACTAACATTTGATGATTTCCCGATTTTCTTTGGTTGTCCAATTTTTGCGTTTGTTGTTCCAGTCACTTTGCAGTTGCATGCCCTAATTCCCTAGCAGTAACATCTGAGCCCTGTAGCCCATTTTTTGACAGATGTCCAGCAGCCATAGCATCTGATGCGGCCCTTATTGACCTGAGTGACAACCGATCCGGTATGGAATTTTGTTGTTCAGAGCATAGTTGTCATGGTTCTGAGTAATGAACTGCGGGAAATCAGGACTCTGAAGGTTGGCTCAGGTTCAAGAATCCCTTTATTGAGTATATCATATCGGCACTTAGAAAGAGAAAGCTAGCTCTAAATTATTCCCGCACATAGGGATAGTTAAAAGAATAGGATTCCCCCCCCCCCAGGTGTCTCAGGTCACATGGGCCAATCAGTCCAGTTGTAGGTTCCCGCCTGGCTTCGACAGGTGTCCGATGACATGATCTTGGTTCACATGCTGGCTGGTAGATGTTATGACTAATCAGCTGAGGCACCACATTCCTAAATTCCCCCCTCCACCCCCCTTGAATGGCAATCAAGAAACGAAGCAGAAGTATGCATGGTTTCAATTGAAGTCATTTTGCATGTTGACAGTAGTACTATTTTTTTATAATGACTGATTTTGTTTTATATAAAGTGATAGGTGATTTGGTTTACATTTAAAGATATTTTAGGAATTTTTTTATGTTCACTGAGTAAACCCGCTTGGTGATAAAATAATTTATGTCCTTTTCTTCTTTTATTTGTGTCACAGCTGATTTGAACAATGTTCGATTCTCAGCATATAGAACTGCCATGAAGCTCCGAAGACTACAGAAAGCTCTCTGTTGTGAGTAGTCTGAATACCTTCAAGAATGTTTCTTAATTACATTTTAAGAAATGAATGAAAATAACTTCCATAGAATTTTATTTTGTTGTCGTTTGGGGCACAAATTAAACTATTTTTTTCTCCCCGATTCAACCTGAAAATGTAAGATTATAAATTTTCATTCATCATTGTGGGTTTGTTTTTCTAAATTCAATGGTAAATTCTTCATATATATATATATATAACTCTCTGATTTCTTTCCCATCTATCCAGGTTTTTTTCTCTCAAGTTATGTACTCTGACAGGCTTACATTTTCATTTTAATAGGTTTCCCCTGAAGATATATATTACGTTTTTTCCATTTTTAGCTTCAAAAATGATTTTGAAGCTTGCTTTTTAAATGGGTTCTTCATCCATTAATATTGGTTGAAAATATTTTGATTTGATAAAAATGTCAGTTATGAAATTAATTCATGAAAAGGTAGCAGGTTTTGGTTCAAGTTTGGGTTTGTTATTTATCTTCTGTATTCCCCTGTTTTGTCACAATGAGTATTCTGATAGTATAGTCAGTGGAATGTAAAAAAGCTTTTGGATTTTAGGAACCGAACACTCCTGGCATTTTGCCCCCCCCCCAGTCTTTTATTTTTTTAACTAGGCATTCTAATTTGATGGTTAATTTGTCATGTTTATTATTAAAGTCATCCTTATAAGAATTCAATTTTGCTTTGAAGTCTTTTTTTAAAAAAATTAATAATAATAATTAATAATTAATATTTTCTGCTATAAATAACTTGTGAGGTTTTTATTATAAATTAACATAAATATATTATTATATCAATATATAGTTAATATATTACATTAATTATATTAAATATATTATTGTATTAATATAATATTAATATGTTATTATTATGATAAATACTAGGCTTCCTCTGATTTTGTCTTTGTACTTCTATTCATTTTTGACAAAAAGTTAGTTTACATCTACTTTTCATTCAACAGAACTGACAGAAAGTATATTGTTAATAGTAAAATATTTTGATATGGAAATAAATCAATACCAAGTTTGTTAGGTGTTTTGTGCCAGCCATGGCAGTTCCTTAAAAGGGCACCAGATGGCAGCAAAGAGTGACTTTCGATCCCACTGGTGGGTGAAGGGGCTCCAGCCCCTGCAGCCTCATTGGTAAGGGAGGAGCCATGGGCCCCTATAAGAACCCCTGCACAGGGGTTGTTTTCCCTTCTCTTGTTCTAACTTCCTACAGGAATAATCCATGGGCTCAATCCAGGCATGGATACCTCCATGCCAGGGAACCCATTTTACTCTACTCTACTTCTAAATAAAGACTTAATTTGATTGCATCCTTGCGTGCTGCCTTTTCTTGAAAGCACTCTCAATGAACCATCGATCTTTGTGAGATCCCTCACAAAGTGGGAGCAGAGGATGGTTTGAGGCCAGCCAGCAGAAGCAAGATGTCTGGAGGTTCCAGCAAGAACCCTTAAGAGATGGCTGGCAGGAGATCCCTGATTGTGACCAGAAGTCTTCAATCAAGGATGGCAACCCTGCATCTAGTCCCTGATGCGAGCTTCGATCCAGAGGAGGGTACAGATGATCTCTATGCCCCCAGAGGACTCAGCGGATAGCAAGGGACCCCTTCACACGCTTCCCTGCAGCTGCAAGCCGCAGAGGAAGGCATGGAAGGCCAGCAGTCCACCCAGGACTGCCAGGACACCGGGGAGGCGGCCAGGGACCAGGCCACCCCCAGCGTAGACCAGCTCACTGGCGAAGAATGCAGAGAGCTGCTACGAACGCTCCTAGCAACCCGAGGGATGCCAGGAGCCCAGCCACGTGGGACACCAGCGCAGGGGGCCTCTGGACACCGGGTAAGTCTTTACCCAGTGCCCAGGAGGCCCCCTAACATGGCATCAGCCATCCTGGAGGACCTTGGGGCCCTGGAGCTTTTGGAGGGAAAATTACCGCCAAATCGCGATCTGCAGCTTCCGGGGCCAACTGGAAGCAACATGGCGGCCCCCAGGCTACCTACTCCAGCAAGGCTTGGTGGGCCTCATCTAGGCCATGAGGCCCAGCAACCGATGGCAGCCAGCCAAAGCAGCATGCAAACTGCTCCCCCCCCCGGGCAAGCCTCAAAGTCTGCCCAGCTGTACCTGTTGCAGCGGGCATCAGGGCTGCAATCCAAGTTCTGGCTGCAGCCCTGGAGGCCATGATGACCGAGACCTCAACCTCGGGGGCAGCCAGCCTCCCTCAACACCCCCAGGAGACCAATGAGGGGGGGCATCCAGTCCGGAGCCCCCCAGCAATGACCCACGCTTCCAGAGAGTCTCAGAAGAACCCCTGGGGTCTCCAGCCTTCCCAACACCCCCCACCGAGGCAACGGAGGACTCACCTCGATGACTTCAGGTGGCCTCCAGCCGAGCCTCCCACCTCCCAAGATGGCTGCCTCCTCCAGAGTCTTCAGGACCAGCGGTGGGCCCCTCCAGGCGATCCTCAGCATTTTCGGGCTTTTCCGGCCCCATCCTGCAGCCTTCGCCCCCTGGTACCAGGGGAGCTTCCAGAAGACTCTTCAGAGCTCCATAGGCCTGGGCCCAGGCCTGGCCCTGAAGCACAGAGAGAGAGGTCCGCTCCCGTCGGTTCCTGGGCTGGAATGAGTTCTGAGCATGCTCAGTTGGCCCCATCTGAAAAGGAGAAAAATAATCAGAGAAAAATACCTACACTCACCAGCAGAGGGATCCCTCTCCCATTTACTTCAATGGAATCATCCCAAAGGTACCAAGGACAGCAGAATGGACAGGTATTTTCTGCTCCTGCTTATTCCTTTTCTTCAGTACTCCCGAATAGCTTTGAAAAACTACATCTGGGGGGTGAAAATTTTAACATATGGAATAAAGAGATACAGATATGTCTCTTAAAAGAGGGGACCCTAGAAATGGTTCTATACCCCCCACCTTTCCCTTGGGGGCCTCAAGAAGAGTGGTACCACAGAAAAGCCTATACCATTCTACTGAGCTCACTGGATGCTAAATTGTATCTCAGCATTTCAGATGGGCTCACAGCTGGTGAGATTTGGGGCTTGTTATATAGCCTATTCAATAGTGATAGCTTGGGCTCCACCACAAGACTCACAGCAGAGTTCTATAACACCAAGCTGAAATTTGGGGCTAGCATAACTGAGCACCTGGGAAAGTTGAAGGCATTCAAGGCAGAACTGGTGCTCAGGGACTACCCCGTGACTGAGGCCAACATGATCGCTGTCATTCTGGCATCCCTGGATAAAAGTTGGGGCAATTTTATTGTCTCACTAGAGGGAACCAGAAAGGAAGCCATGACTCTGTCCTACCTCACAGGGAGGCTCAGTGAGGAAGACAGGAGGCGTAGAGATGCAGGAGAGTATACCAGGGCCACAACTCATCGCATCAACAGAAGGCACCAGAGTTCAGAGCAGGTTAACGCTCTACCCAAGTGTTTCATCTGTGGCCCTGAGGAGCATCTGAAGAAGGACTGCCCCCATTACCAGCAAGGACCTAAGCATGGTTCCAATCAAGGAAGGGGCAGAGGGCAGAGAAGGGTGCCTGGCGGGGGCAAAGGTGGTGCTAAGGGCAATTTTGTGTGTACTACTTATCTCATCCCCACCACACGGGCTGATGGCCCTACTGGCCTCTGGTTACTGGACTCTGGGGCTTCATCTCACAATTCTAACGTGAAGCAAGGTTTTAAGAGGTTAAGAAGAATTAACCTCTCTGTCAAGGTTGCCAATGGTAACAATGCTTTGGTTGTTGGGGAGGGCACTGTCTCTGTACTAGGGCTGGGCAATGTTGAAGGTGTGTTACATGCTCCCTCTATCACCAATAACCTGTTGAGTATAACCAAGTTATGTGATGATGGCAGGGTGGAGGTATTGTTTCACAAAGGGGGAGGTCATGTCACTCGAGACAAAAGGGTCATTGGGAGTGTTACCATTATGAATGGTTTGCCATATTTCTCCCCCGAGTACCCAGCACAGGAGACAGCTCACAGGGTGCCACTTCAGAAGGGACCTGCGCGCAGAGAGAGAGAAAGGCTCCACAGCCAGCCTCACGACCTTCCAAGGCCAATGTGGGCAAGAAACCTGAGCCTCAGCAGCACCTAAGGCAGATAAGCCCCAAAAAGGGCCTAAGGTACCAGCACCGCCCAAGGCAACCAGAGCCAAGGGGGTGTCAGTGGGAAAGCCGCTCCATACTAAATGTGCCCACCTCTTACATGGGAGGTTAGGCCATGCGAGCTTCCCAGTGGTTAAAAAGATGGGGGAATTTGCTGAGGGGATTCACCTCCAGGATTGTGAGATGTTTCTGGACTGTGCCATCTGTAAGAGGGCAAAGAGGAAGGCCGCCCCAATACCTAAGGTGTCACTGCGTAAAAACCAATACCCATATCAATTAATACATGTTGATATGGTTGGGCCATTTACACTGTCCCTAGGAAAGAGGCAGTATTTCCTCACTGCCGTTGATGATTTCTCGAGGTATGGCCATGTGTATACCCTCACAGAAAAGTCTGAAGCCTTTGATGCCATAAAATCACTGTACAACTATGTGGAAACTCAGTACAAGACAAAGATCGCACATCTGCAGAGCGACCGTGGGGCTGAGTTCATGTCCCGAAAATTCCAGGACTGGATAAGGCACAAGGGCATACATCATTTTCGTACAGCACCTTTTACTCCTGCGCAGAACGGCATTATAGAAAAACAAAATGGTATTCTGCAGACTATGGTGCGCAGCCTGATTGCGAATGCTGGGGTTGCGGAATCATACTGGGCGGAGGCGGTACACTACGCCAACTATACCCTGAACCGCACCTGGAGCAGTGTTGTGAACCAGACCCCATATTTTCTGGTCCATGGTAGGAAACCAAGTTTGGGTCACCTGTCACACACTTGTGTGTGTTTGGCTCCTATGCTTGGGTGCACATCCCCAAGCAGCTGCGGAAGAAGGGGAGATCCGTCTCCCAGAGACTGAGGTTCTTGGGC